TGATTAGGGGAGGGAATGGAACACGATACACACCATGATTAGGGGAGGGAATGTGAAGGAGTGATACCATGATTAGGAGAGGGAATGTGAAGGAGTGATACACACCATGATTAGGGGAGGGAATGTGAAGGAGTGATACCATGATTAGGAGAGGGAATGTGAAGGAGTGATACACACCATGATTAGGGGAGGGAATGTGAAGGAGTGATACACACCATGATTAGGGGAGGGAATGGAACACGGATACACACCATGATTAGGGGAGGGAATGGAACACGGATACACACCATGATTAGGGGAGGGAATGTGAAGGAGTGATACCATGATTAGGAGAGGGAATGTGAAGGAGTGATACACACCATGATTAGGGGAGGGAATGTGAAGGAGTGATACCATGATTAGGAGAGGGAATGTGAAGGAGTGATACACACCATGATTAGGGGAGGGAATGTGAAGGAGTGATACACACCATGATTAGGGGAGGGAATGGAACACGGATACACACCATGATTAGGGGAGGGAATGTGAAGGAGTGATACCATGATTAGGAGAGGGAATGTGAAGGAGTGATACACACCATGATTAGGGGAGGGAATGTGAAGGAGTGATACACACCATGATTAGGAGAGGGAATGTGAGGGAGTGATAAACTGCTTTCAAACTATTTCACTTGATTAGCTATTGTTTATAAATAAATAATAATAATAAATTGGTCATTTAGCAGACGCTCTTATCCAGAGCGACTTACAGGAGCAATTAGGGTTAAGTGCCTTGCTCAAGGGCACATCGACAGGTTTTTCACCTAGTCGGCTCTGGGATTAGAACCAGCGACCTTTCGGTTACTGGCACAACGCTCTTAACCACTAAGCTACCTTTCTTTACTTTCCTTCTAATAGCCAGAGAGCCCTGGGCCCGGTTTCCTCATAGCCAGAGAGCCCTGGGCCCGGTTTCCTCATAGCCAGAGAGACCTGGGCCCGGTTTCCCCATAGCCAGAGAGACCTGGGCCTGGTTTCCCCATAGCCAGAGAGACCTGGGCCCGGTTTCCTCATAGCCAGAGAGACCTGGGCCCGGTTTCCTCATAGCCAGAGAGATCTGGGCCTGGTTTCCCCATAGCCAGAGAGCCCTGGGCCTGGTTTCCCCATAGCAGGAGAGACCTGGGCCTGGTTTCCCCATAGCAGGAGAGACCTGGGCCTGGTTTCCCCATAGCAGGAGAGCCCTGGGCCCGGTTTCCCCATAGCCAGAGAGAGACCTGGGCCTGGTTTCCCCATAGCCAGAGAGCCCTGGGCCCGGTTTCCCCATAGCCAGAGAGACCTAGGCCTGGTTTCCCCATAGCAGGAGAGATCAGGGCCCGGTTTCCCCATAGCCAGAGAGCCCTGGGCCCGGTTTCCTCATAGCCAGAGAGCCCTGGGCCCGGTTTCCCCATAGCCAGAGAGAGCCCTGGGCCCGGTTTCCCCATAGCCAGAGAGAGACCTGGGCCTGGTTTCCCCATAGCCAGAAAGACCTGGGCCCAGTTTCCCCATAGCAGGAGAGATCAGGGCCCGGTTTCCCCATAGCGATGGAACTTAGGCTTACAAGTGTTTTAATGATGCATCTTTCCTACAACGGCTGAAGATGTAACATGTGTTTCCCAAAACACCACACAGAGAGAACTGTCACTAAGTGCGTTGTTGGAGCGTCTGTCAATACTGATAGGATCAAAAGAAAGGGAGCGCTGCTCTCGGATCAGCTTTCTCCATTCAAATCTTACCTTACCATTAGAGTTATTCCACTATACTGACAACGGATCAGCTCCTAGAGAGATATCAGCTATGTAGGCAAATATTGAGGTGACTTATTTGAATGCTTACCCAATAATAATACACTAAATCAAGATTAGCTATTAATGGTATTACTACAGCTATAATGGTATTACTACAGCTATAATGCTATTACTACAGCTATAATGGTATTACTACAGCTATAATGGTATTACTACAGCTATAATGGTATTACTACAGATATAATGGTATTACTACAGATATAATGGTATTACTACAGATATAATGGTATTACTACAGCTATAATGGTATTACTACAGCTATAATGGTATTACTACAGATATAATGGTATTACTACAGATATAATGGTATTACTACAGATATAATGGTATTACTACAGCTATAATGGTATTACTACAGCTATAATGGTATTACTACAGATATAATGGTATTACTACAGATATAATGGTATTACTACAGCTATAATGATATTACTACAGCTATAATGGTATTACTACAGCTATAATGGTATTACTACAGATATAATGGTATTACTACAGCTATAATGGTATTACTACAGCTATAATGGTATTACTACAGATATAATGGTATTACCACAGCTGTAATGGTATTACTACAGATATAATGGTATTACTACAGCTGTAATGGTATTACTACAGCTATAATGGTATTACTACAGATATAATGGTATTACCACAGCTGTAATGGTATTACTACAGATATAATGGTATTACTACAGATATAATGGTATTACTACAGATATAATGGTATTACTACAGCTGACGTCAGAGGACAAAAATCAGTTAACCACTTAACTGAGGAACTCAATTTAACCTTGCGCAATACCCTAGATGCAGTTGCACCCCTAAAAACGAAAAACATTTGTCATAAGAAACTAGCTCCCTGGTATACAGAAAATACCCGAGCTTTGAAGCAAGCTTCCAGGAAATTGGAACGGAAATGGCGCCACACCAAACTGGAAGTCTTCCGACTAGCTTGGAAAGACAGTACCGTGCAGTACCGAAGAGCCCTCACTGCTGCTCGATCATCCTACTTTTCCAACTTAATCGAGGAAAATAAGAACAATCCAAAATTTCTTTTTGATACTGTTGTAAAGCTAACTAAAAAGCAGCATTCCCCAAGAGAGGATGGCTTTCACTTCAGCAGTGATAAATTCATGAACTTCTTTGAGGAAAAGATCATGACCATTAGAAAGCAAATTACGGACTCCTCTTTGAATCTGCGTATTCCTCCAGGGCTTAGCTGTCCTGGATCTGCACAGCTCTGCGAGGGCCTGGGATTGTTACTTCTAGGTTAGACTACTGCAATGCTCTATTTTCCGGCTACCCGGATAAAGCACTAAATAAACTTCAGTTAGTGCTAAATACGGCTGCTAGAATCCTGACTAGAACCAAGAAATTTGATCATATTACTCCAGTGCTAGCTTCCCTACACTGGCTTCCTGTTAAGGCAAGGGCTGATTTCAAGGTTTTACTGTTAACCTATAAAGCGTTACATGGGCTTGCTCCTACCTATCTTTCCGAGTTGGTCCTGCCGTACATACCAATACGTACGCTACGGTCACAAGTAGTAGGCCTCCTAATTGTCCCTAAAATTTCTAAGCAAACAGCGGGAGGCAGGGCTTTCTCCTATAGATCTCCATTTTTATGGAACAGTCTGCCTACCCATGTGAGAGACGCAGACTCAGTCTCAACCTTTAAGTCTTTACTGAAGACTTATCTCTTCAGTAGGTCATATGATTGAGTGTAGTCTGGCCCAGGAGTGTGAAGGTGAACGGAAAGGCTGGAGCAACGAACAGCCCTTGCTGTCTCTGCCAGGCCGGTTCCCCTCTCCACTGGGGTTCTCTGCCTCTAACCCTGTTGCAGGGGCTGAGTCACTGGCTTGCTGGTGCTCTTTCATGCCGTCCCTGGGAGGGGTGCGTCACTTGAGTGGGTTGAGTTACTGACGTGATCTTCCTGTCTGGGTTGGCGCCCCCCCCTTGGTTTGTGCTGTGGTGGAGACCTCTGTGGGCTATACTCGGCCTTGTCTCAGGATTGTAAGTTGGTGGTTGGGGATATCCCTCTAGTGGTGCGGGGGCTGTGCTTTGGCGGAGTGGGTGGGGTTATATCCTTCCTGTTTGGCCCTGTCCGGGGGTTTCTTCGGATGGGGCCACAGTGTCTCCGGACCGCTCCTGTCTCAGCCTCCAGTATTTATGCTGCAGTAGTTTATGTGTCGGGGGGCTGGGGTTAGTTGGTTATACCTGGAGTACTTCTCCTGTCTTATCCAGTGTCCTGTGTGAATTTAAGTATGCTCTCTCTAATTCTCTCGTTCTCTCTTTCTCTCTGAGAACCTGAGCCCTAGGACCATACGTCAGGACTACCGGGCATGATGACACCTTGCTGTCCCCAGTCCGCCTGGCCTTGCTGCTATTCCAGTTTCAACTGTTCTGCCTGCGGCTACGAAACCCCTACCTGTCCCAGACCTGCTGTTTTCAACTCTTAATGATCGGCTATGAAAAGCCAACTGAGAGACCTGAGCCCTAGGACCATACGTCGGGACTACCGGCCGTGGTGACTCCTTGCTGTCCCCAGTCCGCCTGGCCTTGCTGCTATTCCAGTTTAAACTGTTCTGCCTGCGGTTATGGAACCCCTACCTGTCCCAGACCTGCTGTTTTCAAACTCTTAATGATCGGCTATGAAAAGCCAACTGAGATTTATTCCTGATTATTATTTGACCATGCTTGTCACTTATGAACATTTTTGAACATCTTGGCATGGTTCTGTTATAATCTCCACCCGGCACAGCCAGAAGAGGACTGGCCACCCCTCATAGCCTGGTTCCTCTCTAGGTTTCTTCCTAGGTTTTCGCCTTTCTAGGGAGTTTTTCCTAGCCACCGTGCTTCTACACCTGCATTACTAGCTGTTTGGGGTTTTAGGCTGGGTTTCTGTACAGCACTTCGAGATATTAGCTGATGTAAGAAGGGCTATATAAAATAAAATTGATTGATTGATTGATAATGGTATTACTACAGATATAATGGTATTACCACAGCTGGAATGGTATTACCACAGCTGTAATGGTATTACCACAGCTGTAATGGTATTACCACAGCTGTAATGGTATTACCACAGCTGTAATGGTATTACTACAGCTGTAATGGTATTACTACAGATATAATGGTATTACCACAGCTGTAATGGTATTACCACAGCTGTAATGGTATTACCACAGCTGTAATGGTATTACTACAGCTATAATGGTATTACTACAGATATAATGGTATTACCACAGCTGTAATGGTATTACCACAGCTGTAATGGTATTACTGCATCTATAATCCTCAGAACATGCGCAGACCAGCTGGCTGGTGTGTTTATGGACATTTTCAATCTCTCCCTATCCCAGTCTGCTGTCCCCACATGCTTCAAGATGGCCACCATTGTTCCTGTACCCAAGAGAGCGAAGGTAACTGAACTAAATGACTATCGCCCCGTAGCACTCACTTCTGTCATCATGAAGTGCTTTGAGAGGCTAGTTAAGGATCATATCACCTCTACCTTACCTGTCACCCTAGACCCACTTCAATTTGCTTACCGCCCCAATAGATCCACAGACGATGCCATCGAAATCACTCTTCACAGTGCCCTATCCCATCTGGATAAGAGGAATACCTATGTAAGAATGCTGTTCATTGACTATAGCTCAGCCTTCAACACCATAGTACCCTCCAAGCTCATCATTAAGCTCGAGACCCTGGGTCTGAACCCCGCCCTGTGCAACTGGGTCCTGGACTTCCTGACGGGCCGCCCCCAGGTGGTGAAGGTAGGAAACAACACCTCCACTTCGCTGATCCTCAACACAGGGGACCCACAAGGGTGCGTGCTCAGCCCCCTCCTGTACTCCCTGTTCACCCATGACTGCGTGGCCAAGCACGCCTCCAACTCAATCATCAAGTTTGTAGACAACACAACAGTATTAGGCTTGATTAGCAGCAATGACGAGACAGTCTACAGGGAGGAGGTGAGGGCTCTGGGAGTGTGGTGCCAGGAAAATAACCTCTCACTCAACATCAACAAAACAAAGGAGATGATCGTGGACTTCAGGAAACAGCAGAGGGTGCACCCCCCTATCCACATCGACGGGACCGCAGTGGAGAAGGTGAAAAGCTTCAATTTCCTTGGCATACACATCACTGACAAACTGAAATTGTCCACCCACACAGACAGTGTGGTGAAGAAGGCGCAACAGAACCTCTTCAACCTCAGGAGGCTGAAGAAATTTGGCTTGGCACCTAAAACCCTCACAAACTCTTACAGATGCACAATTGAGAGCATCCTGTCAGGCTGTATCACCACTCAGCCCCTACCCAGATGGTAATGCGCCGTTTGAATCTTTACGCTCTCTCTTCCATTACTCTCTCCTCTTCTATCCTATCATCTCTCCCTTCTGCTAAATTCTTCTCCCTTCTGTCTCCTGATTCTGCCTCTTCGACCCTACTCTCCTCCCTTTCCGCATCCTATGACTCGCACTGTCCCCTTTCCTCCCGGCCGGCTCGGCCCTCCCCTCCTGCTCCGTGGCTGAGTGACTCATTGTGAGCTTCCAGAACAGGGCTGAGTGACTCATTGCGAGCTTACAGAACAGGGCTGAGTGACTCATTGTGAGCTTCCAGAACAGGGCTGCAGGCAGCTGTCCCCTTACCTCCCGGCCGGCTCGGCCCTCCCCTCCTGCTCCGTGGCTGAGTGACTCATTGTGAGCTTACAGAACAGGGCTGAGTGACTCATTGCGAGCTTACAGAACAGGGCTGAGTGACTCATTGCGAGCTTACAGAACAGGGCTGCTGGCAGCTGTCCCCTTACCTCCCGGCCGGCTCGGCCCTCCCCTCCTGCTCCGTGGCTGAGTGACTCATTGCGAGCTTACAGAACAGGGCTGAGTGACTCATTGCGAGCTTCCAGAACAGGGCTGAGTGACTCATTGCGAGCTTACAGAACAGGGCTGAGTGACTCATTGCGAGCTTACAGAACAGGGCTGAGTGACTCATTGTGAGCTTCCAGAACAGGGCTGAGTGACTCATTGCGAGCTTCCAGAACAGGGCTGAGTGACTCATTGTGAGCTTCCAGAACAGGGCTGAGTGACTCATTGTGAGCTTCCAGAACAGGGCTGAGTGACTCATTGCGAGCTTCCAGAACAGGGCTGAGTGACTCATTGTGAGCTTCCAGAACAGGGCTGAGTGACTCATTGCGAGCTTCCAGAACAGGGCTGAGTGACTCATTGTGAGCTTCCAGAACAGGGCTGAGTGACTCATTGTGAGCTTCCAGAACAGGGCTGAGTGACTCATTGTGAGCTTCCAGAACAGGGCTGAGTGACTCATTGTGAGCTTCCAGAACAGGGCTGAGTGACTCATTGTGAGCTTCCAGAACAGGGCTGAGTGACTCATTGTGAGCTTCCAGAACAGGCTGAGTGACTCATTGTGAATTTCCAGAACAGGGCTGAGTGACTCATTGTGAGCTTCCAGAACAGGGCTGAGTGACTCATTGTGAGCTTCCAGAACAGGGCTGAGTGACTCATTGTGAGCTTCCAGAACAGGGCTGAGTGACTCATTGTGAGCTTCCAGAACAGGGCTGAGTGACTCATTGTGAGCTTCCAGAACAGGGCTGAGTGACTCATTGTGAGCTTCCAGAACAGGGCTGAGTGACTCATTGTGAGCTTCCAGAACAGGGCTGAGTGACTCATTGTGAGCTTACCGAACAGGGCTGAGTGACTCATTGTGAGCTTCCAGAACAGGGCTGAGTGACTCATTGTGAGCTTCCAGAACAGGGCTGAGTGACTCATTGTGAGCTTCCAGAACAGGGCTGAGTGACTCATTGTGAGCTTCCAGAACAGGGCTGAGTGACTCATTGTGAGCTTCCAGAACAGGGCTGAGTGACTCATTGTGAGCTTCCAGAACAGGGCTGAGTGACTCATTGTGAGCTTCCAGAACAGGGCTGAGTGACTCATTGTGAGCTTCCAGAACAGGGCTGAGTGACTCATTGTGAGCTTCCAGAACAGGGCTGAGTGACTCATTGTGAGCTTCCAGAACAGGGCTGAGTGACTCATTGTGAGCTTCCAGAACAGGGCTGAGTGACTCATTGTGAGCTTCCAGAACAGGGCTGAGTGACTCATTGTGAGCTTCCAGAACAGGGCTGAGTGACTCATTGTGAGCTTCCAGAACAGGGCTGAGTGACTCATTGCGAGCTTCCAGAACAGGGCTGAGTGACTCATTGTGAGCTTCCAGAACAGGGCTGAGTGACTCATTGCGAGCTTCCAGAACAGGGCTGAGTGACTCATTGTGAGCTTCCAGAACAGGGCTGAGTGACTCATTGTGAGCTTCCAGAACAGGGCTGAGTGACTCATTGTGAGCTTCCAGAACAGGGCTGAGTGACTCATTGTGAGCTTCCAGAACAGGGCTGAGTGACTCATTGTGAGCTTCCAGAACAGGGCTGAGTGACTCATTGTGAGCTTCCAGAACAGGGCTGAGTGACTCATTGTGAGCTTCCAGAACAGGGCTGAGTGACTCATTGTGAGCTTCCAGAACAGGGCTGAGTGACTCATTGTGAGCTTCCAGAACAGGGCTGAGTGACTCATTGTGAGCTTCCAGAACAGGGCTGAGTGACTCATTGCGAGCTTCCAGAACAGGGCTGAGTGACTCATTGCGAGCTTACCGAACAGGGCTGAGTGACTCATTGTGAGCTTCCAGAACAGGGCTGAGTGACTCATTGTGAGCTTCCAGAACAGGGCTGAGTGACTCATTGTGAGCTTCCAGAACAGGGCTGAGTGACTCATTGTGAGCTTCCAGAACAGGGCAGAGTGACTCATTGTGAGCTTCCAGAACAGGGCTGAGTGACTCATTGTGAGCTTCCAGAACAGGGCTGAGTGACTCATTGTGAGCTTCCAGAACAGGGCTGAGTGACTCATTGTGAGCTTCCAGAACAGGGCTGAGTGACTCATTGTGAGCTTCCAGAACAGGGCTGAGTGACTCATTGTGAGCTTCCAGAACAGGGCTGAGTGACTCATTGTGAGCTTCCAGAACAGGGCTGAGTGACTCATTGTGAGCTTCCAGAACAGGGCTGAGTGACTCATTGTGAGCTTCCAGAACAGGGCTGGGTGACTCATTGTGAGCTTCCAGAACAGGGCTGAGTGACTCATTGTGAGCTTCCAGAACAGGGCTGAGTGACTCATTGTGAGCTTCCAGAACAGGGCTGAGTGACTCATTGCGAGCTTACCGAACAGGGCTGAGTGACTCATTGTGAGCTTCCAGAACAGGGCTGAGTGACTCATTGTGAGCTTCCAGAACAGGGCTGAGTGACTCATTGTGAGCTTCCAGAACAGGGCTGAGGGCAGCTGAGAGAAAATGGAGGAAAACTAAACTTCTGGAGGACCTATCATCCTTTCCCTCCCTCCTCTCCACCTTCCCCTCTTCCTCTGTATCTGCTGCTAAAGCCATCCTTTCACTCCCTCCTCTCTACCTTCCCTTCCTCTGTATCTGCCGCTAAAGCCATCCTTTCCCTCCCTCCTCTCTACCTTCTCTTCCTCTGTATCTGCTGCTAAAGCCATCCTTTCACTCCCTCCTCTCTACCTTCTCTTCCTCTGTATCTGCTGCTAAAGCCATCCTTTCCCTCCCTCCTCTCTACCTTCTCTTCCTCTGTATCTGCTGCTAAAGCCATCCTTTCACTCCCTCCTCTCTACCTTCTCTTCCTCTGTATCTGCCGCTAAAGCCATCCTTTCCCTCCCTCCTCTCTACCTTCTCTTCCTCTGTATCTGCCGCTAAAGCCATCCTTTCACTCCCTCCTCTCTACCTTCTCTTCCTCTGTATCTGCTGCTAAAGCCATCCTTTCACTCCCTCCTCTCTACCTTCTCTTCCTCTGTATCTGCCGCTAAAGCCATCCTTTCCCTCCCTCCTCTCTACCTTCTCTTCCTCTGTATCTGCCGCTAAAGCCATCCTTTCACTCCCTCCTCTCTACATTCTCTTCCTCTTCCTCTGTAACTCCTGAGTGGCGCAGTGGTCTAAGGCTATCATATCCAGGCTCTGTCGCAGCCGGCCGCGACCGGGAGACTCATGGGCGGCACACAATTGGCCCAGCGTCGTCCAGGGTAGGGGAGGGAATGGCCGGCAGGGATGTAGCTCAGTTGATAGAGCATGGCATTTGCAACGCCAGGGTTGTGGGTTCGATTCCCACAGGGGGCCAGTATAAAAAAAATATGTATTCACTAACTGTAAGTCGCTCTGGATAAGAGCGTCTGCTAAATGACTAAAATGTAAATGTAATGTAAATGTATCCGCTGCTAAAGCCACTTTCTACCACTCTAAATTTTAAGCTTCTGCCTCTAACCCTAGGAAACTCTTTTCCACCTTAATCCTCCTTAATCCTCCACCCCCTCCACCTCCCTCCTCCCTCTCTGCGGACGACTTTGTCAACCACTTTGAAAAATATGTTGACGACATCCGCTACTCATTCACTCAGCATATTGAGTCCACTGGTCCCACTCACACAGAACTACCCTACGCCTTGACCTCTTTCTCCCCTCTCTCTCCAGATGACATCCTGCGATTAGTGAGGTCCGGCCGCCCGACAACCTGACCGCTTGACTCCATCCCCTCCTCCCTTCTCCAAACCATCTCTGGAGACCTTCTCCAATTCCTCACTTTCCTCATCAACTCATCCCTGACCACTGGCTGCATCCCCTCTGAATTCAAAATGGCCCGAGTTGCTCCCCTCCTCAAGAAACCAACACTCGACTCATCTGACGTCAAAAACTACAGACTGGTATCCCTTCTTTCTTTTCTTTCCAAAACACTTGAGCTGCTGTCTCTGACTAACCCTCTCGTTCTCTCTCTCAGAATGATCTTCTTGACCCTAACCAGTCAGGCTTCAAGACGGGTCACTCAACTGAGACTGCTCTTCTCTGTGTCACGGAGGCTCTCCGCACTGCCAAAGCTGACTCTCTCCTCTGTTCTCATCCTCCTAGATATATCCGCTGGCTTTTTATACCGTGAACCATCAGATCCTCCTCTCCACCCTCTCAGGGCTGGGCGTCTCAGGCTACACACACTCTTGGATTGCATTCTACCTGGGAGGCCGCTCCTACCAGGTGATGTGGAGAGGATCTGTGTCCGCACCATGTACTCTCACTACTGGTGTCCCCCAGGGCTCGGTTCTAGGCCCTCTCCTCTTCTCTCTATACACCAAGTCACTCGGCTCCGTCATATCCTCACATGGTCTCTCCTATCATTGCTATGCAGATGACACTCAACTACTTTTCTCCTTCCCCCCTTCTGACGCCCAGGTGCCGACACGCATCTCTGCGTGCCTGGCAGATATATCTCAACTTGGATGTCGGCCCCCCACCTCAAGCTCAACCTCGACAAGATGGAACTGCTCTTCCTCTTGACATGAGAGAACCTTCCCAAGTTCTCCCATGTCACCCCGCTCCTCCGCACACTCCACTGGCTTCCAGTTGAAGCTCGCATCCACTACAAGACCATGGTGCTTACCTACGGAGCAGCAAGGGGAACTGCCCCTCCCTACCTTCAGACTATGCTCAAACCCTTCACCCCAACCCGAGCAATCCGTTCTGCTAAATGACTCACTACTGTAAATCTCTCTGGATAAGAGCGTCTGCTAAATGACTCACTACTGTAAGTCTCTCTGGATAAGAGCGTCTGCTAAATGACTCACTACTGTAAGTCTCTCTGGATAAGAGCGTCTGCTAAATGACTCACTACTGTAAGTCTCTCTGGATAAGAGCGTCTGCTAAATGACTCACTACTGTAAATCTCTCTGGATAAGAGCGTCTGCTAAATGACTAACATGTAAATGTAAATCAGTCTCCGAATCTTTAAAGGGACTGTTCATCCCTACATCAAGGTTTGTCAGATGTTTTCTGTGGTCTGTGGATGAGTTAAATCTATAGTCTATAATTCAATGTATCTTTTCACTGGTGAGGTTAGAGGTCAGGGGTTACTTTTAGGGTCAGGGCCTGCCTACCTTTCCCTTGGGGTTAGGGGTTAGAGGTCAGGGCCTGCCTACCTTTCCCTTGGGGTTAGAGCTAGAGGTTAGAGGTCAGGGCCTGCCTACCTTTCCCTTGGGGTTAGGGGTTAGAGGTCAGGGCCTGCCTACCTTTCCCTTGGGGTTAGGGCTAGAGGTTAGAGGTCAGGGCCTGCCTACCTTTCCCTTGGGGCTCTTCTTGTTGATAGGGTTAGGGCTAGAGGTTAGAGGTCAGGGCCTGCCTACCTTTCCCTTGGGGTTAGGGCTAGAGGTTAGAGGTCAGGGCCTGCCTACCTTTCCCTTGGGGTTAGGGCTAGAGGTCAGAAGTCAGGGCCTGCCTACCTTTCCCTTGGGGTTAGAGCTAGAGGTTAGAGGTCAGGGCCTGCCTACCTTTCCCTTGGGGTTAGGGCTAGAGGTCAGAGGTCAGGGCCTGCCTACCTTTCCCTTGGGGTTAGGGCTAGGGTTAGGGTTAGGGCTAGAGGTTAGAGGTCAGGGCCTGCCTACCTTTCCCTTGGGGCTCTTCTTGTTGATAGGGTTAGGGCTAGAGGATAGGGGACAGGGGTTACTTTTAGGGTCAGGGCCTGCCTACCTTTCCCTTGGGGCTCTTCTTGTTGATAGGGTTAGGGTTAGAGGTTAGAGGTCAGGGCCTGCCTACCTTTCCCTTGGGGCTCTTCTTGTTGATAGGGTTAGGGCTAGAGGATAGGGGTTAGAGGTCAAGGGTTAAGGGTTAAGGCTAAACCTACCTTTCCCTTGGGGCTCTTCTCATTGGCGGGGTACATGAAGATTCCTCCGTATGCGATGGTGCGATGGACGTCTGACACCATCGATCCCACGTACCTTGCTCCATAGGGGGCACTGCCGTCCTATAGGGGCGGAGACAACGTCATCAGAAAGGCATTGAACTCACTCTTATCATCATACACTCTGTTATCAAAACAAATGTGATTGATTGATGTAAAGTTTTGATTTATTCCATCACAACCATATGAATTTGCCAGAGCCATAGATGAAGCTACAGTAGCAAGCAACAGGAGGATATGCAGAGCTACACAGCACATTAGCTAGCTACACAGCACATTAGCTACACAGCACATTAGCTACACAGCACATTAAAGCTCAGTGTTGAAGTTAAAAGTGTTTTGAGTGTTGATTCTAGTGGAGTTAACACCAGTGATATATCTGAGTGTTGATTCTAGTGGGGTTAACACCAGTGATATATCTGTTGATTCTAGTGGGGTTAACACCAGTGTTATATCTGAGTGTTGGTTCTAGTGGGGTTAACACCAGTGATATATCTGAGTGTTGATTCTAGTGGGGTTAACACCAGTGATATATCTGTTGATTCTAGTGGGGTTAACACCAGTGATATATCTGAGTGTTGATTCTAGTGAGGTTAACACCAGTGTTATATCTGAGTGTTGATTCTAGTGGGGTTAACACCAGTGATATATCTGAGTGTTGATTCTAGTGGGGTTAACACCAGTGATATATCTGAGTGTTGATTCTAGTGGGGTTAACACCAGTGATATATCTGTTGATTCTAGTGGGGTTAACACCAGTGATATATCTGAGTGTTGATTCTAGTGGGGTTAACACCAGTGATATATCTGAGTGTTGATTCTAGTGGGGTTAACACCAGTGATATATCTGTTGATTCTAGTGGGGTTAACACCAGTGATATATCTGAGTGTTGATTCTAGTGGGGTTAACACCAGTGTTATATCTGTTGATTCTAGTGGGGTTAACACCAGTGATATATCTGAGTGTTGATTCTAGTGGGGTTAACACCAGTGTTATATCTGTTGATTCTAGTGGGGTTAACACCAGTGATATATCTGAGTGTTGATTCTAGTGGGGTTAACACCAGTGTATATCTGATGTTGATTCTAGTGGGGTTAACACCAGTGATATATCTGAGTGTTGATTCTAGTGGGGTTAACACCAGTGATATATCTGAGTGTTGATTCTAGTGGGGTTAACACCAGTGATATATCTGAGTGTTGATTCTAGTGGGGTTAACACCAGTGAATCTGAGTGTTGATTCTAGTGGGTTAACACCAAGTGTTTGATTCTAGTGGGGTTAACACCAGTGTTATATCTGTTGATTCTAGTGGAGTTAACATCAGTGATATATCTGAGTGTTGATTCTAGTGGGGTTAACACCAGTGATATATCTGAGTGTTGATTCTAGTGGGGTTAACACCAGTGATATATCTGAGTGTTGATTCTAGTGGGGTTAACACCAGTGATATATCTGAGTGTTGATTCTAGTGGGGTTAACACCAGTGATATATCTGAGTGTTGATTCTAGTGGGGTTAACACCAGTGATATATCTGAGTGTTGATTCTAGTGGGGTTAACACCAGTGATATATCTGAGTGTTGATTCTAGTGGGGTTAACACCAGTGTGATTGAAATTGACACCACCTGCGGTGAATACATGGTGTTATTTGAATGACAGCGGAATCAACAGTGTGTTGTGTTGTTGTTAATCGACCGTGTTGAGTTCATTTCCGTTTAACTCCCTGAGTTAAAAAATATGTTGGAAGGGCCTCTATCATATTTCCCAGGATGCTTTGTTGCAGGTTGATTTTTAGAATTGTTTATTTTAATATCTACGGTTCTGCACATTGATTGATTCATTTATCTTCTACTATACAAAGATAAATAACGTAAATGTTTCTAAACTAATCCAATCTGTAAGGGGTTGGACTTGCACCTGTTACTGAGATGTTGCAGTTTACGTGGTTTAGGTGGTCTTGGTTGTCATGTCCTTCACGATAGCAGTCAGTCTGAATGCAGGTGGTGGGTGATAAAATATTCTAATTGTTGAATATCCTTCCTCTGGCTGGATTCTGATAAGAATAACTGATCACTTCACAAACCAGCGTACTGTGACTTGCAGGTCTGATGTGGCCCATTAGCCATGATTTTCAGAACACGATTGTTGAGGATGACTAGGCCATAACTAAAGGCCTTTTTAAATGTATAATGTATGGTCATAAAGTGTTTACTTTTAATTCAAACACATTCACTTAGGCAGTCACTTGGTGAAGGCTTCAGAGCTGAAAATGTATGAATCCAACAACTATGTCGCTGTCACTAACTGTCACGACCGTCTTGAAAGGGAGCAGACCAATACGCAGCGCGTTGAGTGAACATGATGACTTTAATGAGTAAAGCACGTAAATACAAAACAAAAGACGATAGTGAAGTCCAACAGTGACAATGACTGAACTTGGAACAAAAACCCACAAACACCAGGTGAAAACAGACAGTATAAATATGGCTCCCAATCAGAGACAACGAGCCAACAGCTGACACTCGTTACCTCTGATTGGGAGTCACTCAACCAAACCAAGAAATACAACACATAGAACCACCCAACCAAACAAAACACCACGAAACGAACATACCCTGGCTCAACACACAAAGTCCCGGAGCCAGAGTGTGACACTAACAAACATAGTCATGGGTGGGTATCGCTCACATTCACTCGAAAGGCATGCTGGGAAATATGCAATTAAGGCTTTACACCCTACAGTGTTAAAACAACACACCCAAAAATAGTGTAACACTACACCATAACTCTAAAGAACACTACAGGTATTATTCCATAACTCTAGAGAACGCTACAGGTGTTATTCCATAACTCTAGAGAACACTACAGGTGTTATTCCATAACTCTAAAGAACACTACAGGTGTTATTCCATAACTCTAAAGAACACTACAGGTATTATTCCATAACTCTAGAGAACGCTACAGGTGTTATTCCATAACTCTAGAGAACGCTACAGGTGTTATTCCATAACTCTAAAGAACACTACAGGTGTTATTCCATAACTCTAAAGAACACTACAGGTGTTATTCCATAACTCTAGAGAACGCTACAGGTGTTATTCCATAACTCTAAAGAACACTACAGGTGTTATTCCATAACTCTAGAGAACGCTACAGGTGTTATTCCATAACTCTAGAGAACGCTACAGGTGTTATTCCATAACTCTAAAGAACACTACAGGTGTTATTCCATAACTCTAGAGAACGCTACAGGTGTTATTCCATAACTCTAAAGAACACTACAGGTGTTATTCCATACTCTAAGACCTACTGTCTATAAAGAACACTACAGGTGTTATTCCATAACTCTAAAGAACACTACAGGTGTTATTCCATAACTCTAAGAACCTACAGGTGTTTATCTCTAACACTAGTGTTCCTTCTACGTAAGGATGTTATCTGTCTCATACGTAAGAACACTACAGGTTTGGCTCAACTAGTGTCCTTTCTGTTGCAGATCATCTTCTGTACTGAAGGTCTGTTTATTACCTGATTTACACTTTCCCCTTTTCGTTTTTACGTCAATGTATTATCATGGTCTTGAGACAGGTGTGTACAAATACACTAGATACATTTGAAATGTATCAGTTTGAGTATCAGATATAGATAAAGTAATGTCATGGAAAGTCTGTCTGAGTATACTATTGGGGACAGGCTTGGAACATTGGTTTAAAGGGATGTTTAAGTGTAAACATTGCACTATAGATGAAGTTTAAAGGGATGTTTAAGTGTGAGACCCTTTTTCAGCTAAAGTGTTCCATTATGTAATGAACAGTATCAGTCTGGGTATGACTGAAGTGTCTCCTGCTGCTCCAGAGAGGTGCATTCTGGGAGAGGGGCCCCAGGAATCACGTCGTACCAGCCGTCATGAGAGGTGTGTGTCTGTGTGTGTCTGTGGATTCATGTCACTACGGCACCTCCCTTGCCACACACACACACACACACACACACACACACACACACACACACACACACACACACACACACACACACACACACACACACACACACACACACAGGCTCCAAAAACACACCAATGAGTTTCACAAAGGGAAAAAAACTAATGGACAGCTGGGATGTCAATAATCTGTGTCCGTCTATCTCTGTGATCAATATAAAAGCAATTAAAAACAAACATCCATAACAAGAGATATACCAACACGTGTCAAGGCAGGTACATTCACATGGACTCTAAATAAGGTCTGTTGTTGAATGAATGATCCTAACCTAACCCTATCTGGAAAGAGTTAGTGTATTCCAAAGGGATTGCTGTCGTGTCCATACCTGCCTGGGCTTTTGGCTGAAGTAAGACCTGACTACGGAATGACTGTGTCGTCATAGAAACATCCTGACTGTGTCATTGTTGTAGAACCCTGCTGACTGTGTGTTCTAGAGGTCAGAGGTCATCGCATCAGAACCTCCTGTTTCCTCAGGAAGGAGGCCTGGACAGGCCGGTCACGCTTGGCTTGGCTTGTTCCGCCACGCTGAGACGCCGTCTGAGGAGTCTAGTAACTGAGTCTGTTTCCCCTAATAGCACCTTATTCACCATATCTACTGGTTTCAGTTGGTCAATGTATCCTCCCACAGTCACACAGATCAAATCAAAATCAAATCGTATTTGTCGAATACTTACAACACAATAAAATAACAATAATGAGGCTATATACAGGAGGTAGCACCTTACCGATCACTGCACCTGTACACAGCCCATCTGAAATTAGCCCACCCAACTACCTCATCCCTATATTGTTATTTATTTTGCTCTTTTGCACCCCAGTATCTCTATTTGCACATCATCTCTTGCACATCTAGCATTCCAGTGTTAATACTATTGTAATTATTCTGCACTATAGCCTATTTATTGCCTTACCTCCATAACTTGCTACATTTGCACACACTGTATATATATTTTCTGTTGTATTTCTGACTTTATGTTTTTTTTACCCCATATGTAACTCTGTGTTGTTTTTTATTGCACTACTTTGCTTTATCTTGGCCAGGTCGCAGTTGTAAATGAGAACCTGTTCTCAACTGGCTTACCTGGTTAAATAAAGGTGAAATAAAAAAAATAAAAAAAAGGTACCGGTACCGACTCAATGTGTGGGTTACAGGTTAGTCGAGGTAATTTGTACATGTAGGTAGGGGTAAAGTGACTATGCATAGATAATAAACATCGAGTAGCAGCAGTGTAAAAACAAAGGGGGGTGGGGGGGTGTCAATGGAAATAGTCTGGGTAGCCATTTGATTAATTGTTCAGCAGTCTTATGGCTTGGGGGTAGAAGCTGTTAAGGAGTATTTTGGACCTAGACTTGGCTCTCCGGTAACGCTTGCCGTGCGGTAGCAGAGAGAACAGTCCATGACTTGGGTGACTGGAGTCTTTGACAATGTTTTGGGCCTTCCTCTGACACCGCCTGGTATAGAGGTCCTGGATGGCAGGAAGCTTGGCCCCAGTGATGTACTGGGCCGTACGCACTACCCTCTGTAGTGCCTTGTGGTTGGAGGCCGAGCAGTTGCCATACCAGGCGGTGATGCAACCAGTCAGGATGCTCTCGATGGTGCAGCTGTAGAACTATTTGAGGATCTGAGGACCCATGCCAAATCTTTTCAGTCTCCTGAGGGGGAATAGGCTTTGTCGTGCCCTCTTCACGACTGTCTTGGTGTGTTTGGACCGTGATAGTTAGTTGGTGGTGTGGACACCAAGGAAGTTGAAGCTCTCAACCCGCTCCACTACAGCCCCGTCGATGAGAATGGGGGCATGTTAGGCCCTCCTTTTCCTGTATTATGAGCTAGTGAGAGTTACTGCGAGGCTAACTGACTACTGGACTCACTGTCAGCAAGAATACACTTATGGTGGGTTCCATAAGGCTAGTCAGAGTGTGTTTAACTAAAAGTTATCTGTGGTTCCTAAACTCAAGGTGTCAGGTGATGATCATGTTTGTGCATGCATGTCTATGTGCTTGTGTGTACCTTTGGGTATTTCTTGTGCTTCAGGTACTCGTTGATGGATGGGTGCATGTATTTGGTGTATCCCTCGTTCAGACTGTAGATCTTTCCTTTGGGCTTGATTTTCACATTTCTCTCTGTCAAGATGAACTCTCCAATCGCCTGGAAACCAAACAACACAGTTAGTTAGGGACATTCACTTGTTATTTTACTGACACTGGCCTCTGTCTCCTGCCTCTGTTTCCTGTCTCTGTCTTTGGTCTCCGTCTTCTGTCTCCTCTCTCCTCTCTCCTCTGTCTCTCCTCTCTCCTCTGTCCTCTGTCTGTCCTCTGTCACTGTCCTCTGTCACTGTCCTCTGTCTGTCCTCTGTCCTCTGTCTCTGTCTCTGTCCTCTGTCCTCTGTCCTCTGTCCCTGTCCTCTCTCCTCTGTATCTCTCCTCTGTCCCTGTCCTCTCTCCTCTGTCCCTCCCTCTCTCTCTCTCTCGTTCTACTTTCTATATCAACTACTGTTTGATATTTGGAACTATCAATTTACAATCCTCTTTCTCACCCTCTCTGTTCTGGCCCAGTGACCTGATTTGTTGCTTTTTGTCCCTGTAACTGACCTAATCTGAGTAAACAATGTTGCTCAGGGTGGGTGGTGGATTGCCCTGCGCTAAGTAAACTCCTGAATATGGTGCTAACACTTCGACAAACTCACAGGGTCCAGCATAAAGAAGTTGAGGCCCTGCCCGGTAGAAAGGGCAACCAAGGTGGCGCTACCATAGAGGGCGTATCCCGCGGCAACAATCTTGTTGCCAGGCTGCAGCGCATCCTTCTCTGTGGCGTCTTCAGTTGATGTCTGAAAAAAATAGACGTTGTATCATATTAGTGGATATTCACACTGCTCTCAGGGCGGGTCTGCCGGTTTTGACTAGCAATTAATTTTAGTAGCAGGTTAGGAGAATTAACGTGGCAGGTTAGGATAATTAGGTTAAGGTTAGGAAAACAGTTAGAGTTAGCTAAAATGCTGAAACTGTCCCCGACACGACTCCAACACATCTAGCTACCACCAGGCCTGCCCTGGGAACACATCTAGCTACCACCAGGCCTGCCCTGGGAACACATCTAGCTACCACCAGGCCTGCCCTGGGAACACATCCAGCTACCACCAGGCCTGCCCCGGGAACACATCTAGCTACCACCAGGCCTGCCCTGGGAACACATCTAGCTACCACCAGGCCTGCCCTGAGAACACATCTAGCTACCACCAGGCCTGCCCTGGGAACACATCTAGCTACCACCAGGCCTGCCCTGGGAACACATCTAGCTACCACCAGGCCTGCCCTGGGAACACATCTAGCTACCACCAGGCCTGCCCTGGGAACACATCTAGCTACCACCAGGCCTGCCCTGGGAACACATCTAGCTACCACCAGGCCTGCCCTGGGAACACATCTAGCTACCACCAGGCCTGCCCTGGGAACACATCTAGCTACCACCAGGCCTGCCCTGGGAACACATCTAGCTACCACCAGGCCTGCCCTGGGAACACATCCAGCTACCACCAGGCCTGCCCTGGGAACAGTCTTAGTCTTCACTATTGCAATTCTGCCAAGTAGACAGGAAGTAGAACATAAAATCTGTAGTTCTACTAATCATACTACATACTGTAGGTCTACTAATCATACTACATACTGTAGTTCTACTAATCATACTACATACTGTAGTTCTACTAATCATACTACATACTGTAGGTCTACTAATCATACTACATACTGTAGTTCTACTAATCATACTACATACTGTAGTTCTACTAATCATACTACATACTGTAGTTCTACTAATCATACTACATACTGTAGGTCTACTAATCATACTACATACTGTAGTTCTACTAATCATACTGCATACTGTAGTTCTACTAATCATACTACATACTGTAGGTCTACTAATCATACTACATACTGTAGTTCTACTAATCATACTACATACTGTGTATTCTGACAGATGTAACGATCATTGAGGATGACATCATGGCATACTACATTTTCTAAACGTCACTCTCACTATAAAACTCACTACTATAAAACTCACTACTATAAATCTCACTACTATAAAACTCACTATTTTAGAACTCACTACTTTAAAACTCACTACTATAAAACTATTTTCACAGACCCAAAATGCCTACTATTTAGAACACTAGATATAACATGCTAACATGCTAACATGGGTCATCTGAATATCCCCCCGGTAACATGGGTCATCTGAATATCCCCCCGGTAACATGGGTCATCTGAATATCCCCCCGGTAACATGGGTCATCTGAATATCCCCCCCTGATCGAGCTATACACACTGGATATAACAAGCTAACATGCTAACTTGGGTCATCTGAATATTCCCCCCTGATCGAGCTATACACCCTGGATATAACAAGCTAAACATGTAACTTGGGGGGTCATCTGAATATTCCCCCACTGATACGAGCTATAACCCTGGAATATAACAAGCGAACATGCGAACTTGGGTCATCTGAATATCCCCCCTCTGATCGAGCTATACGCCATGGAATAAAACAAGCAACATGCTAACTGGGGTATCTGAATTTCCCCCTGATCGAGCTATACACCCTGGATAAACAAGCTACATGCTAACTTGGGTCATCTGAATTTCCCCCCTGATCGAGCTATAACACTGGATATAACAAGCTAACATGCTAACTTGGGTCATCTGAATATTCCCCCCCTGATCGAGCTATACACACTGGATATAACAAGCTAACATGCTAACTTGGGTCATCTGAATATTCCCCCCTGATCGAGCTATACACACTGGATATAACAAGCTAACATGCTAACTTGGATCATCTGAATATTCCCCCCTGATCGAGCTATACACACTGGATATAACAAGCTAACATGCTAACATGCTAACTTGGGTCAGTGAAATAAAATCTACTACTCGGCCCTACCATAAAATAAGGTATTGTGGTAAATGTTGAGTGTGATATGATTGTTGCATGTCAGATCTGTGAGACAACAGCACCCTCTATTGTTGGTTATTGTAACTGCAGTCTTCTACACCTGCTGGTGCTGGATCATGGATGGATCCTTCATCTGTGGTGGATCCTTTATCTCAATCACAGCTTGCACTGAATTTCTCTGTCAATTATGCATGTCTTACTTATATGTGTCCTATATGATACTAAGAATAATCTTGTTAATGTCTAAAGAATGTGTCAATCCTAGCTTTAAGAGTTCCATAAATGAATTCCATAGTTTAGCTGGTGCATATGATCAGGCTGGCGATCGGTGGGGCTGTTACCTCGTCGATCTGGAAAGGCACAATGAGACACATGTCAGAGAACAGACAGAGACAGAGTGCATATGAACAGCATCAGATTCACCCATATTAAATTGCCACAGAGCATGTATTGAAAGAGTCACAATTACACTACACTTCTGTTAGGCATATATGTTTCTTAAAAAGTATTTCCATACTGTATAGTTGAACACACAAATGTATAAAAAGTATTTGATGTGTTGACACACTGTGTGTTGTGTTACAGACATACACACCCTTTTGTAGATGGCGAAGATGGTGCCGATGGAAGCCAAGCAGTCGATGTTAGAGGAGCCATCCAGAGGGTCAAAACACACCACGTATTTACCACCTGGAGGAGAGACAAGGGGGTCAGCTGGGGATAGGGGTATGGGACCCTGGAGGAGAGACAAGGGGGTCAGCTGGGGATAGGGGTATGGGACCCTGGAGGAGAGACAAGGGGGTCGCTGGGGATAGGGGTATGGGGCCCTGAGGAGAAGACAGGGGGTCAGCTGGGTAGCCCGGAGGAAGACAAGGGGGTCAGCTGGGGTAGGGGTTGGACCCCGGGGGGGAAAAAAGGGCAAGGGGGGAGCTGGGGATGGGGGAGGGACCCCGGAGGAGAACAAAGGGGGGCAGGTGGGGATAGGGGGGAGGGACCCCGGAGGGGGACAAGGGGGCAGCTGGGGGGTAGGGGTATGGACCCCCGGAGGAAGACAAGGGGGGAGCTGGGGGTGGGGTATGGGCCCGGAGGAGAGACAAGGGGGTCGGGGGATAGGGGGAAAGGGGACCCTGGGAGGGGGAAAGGGGGGGGGCAGTTGGGGTAGGGGTTTTTGGGGCCTGGAGGAGGGACAAGGGGGGTCAAATGGGGATAGGGGGATGGGGGCCCTGGAGGAGGGGACAAGGGGGGGCGCTGGGGTAGGGGTTGGGCCCTGGAGGAGAAAAGGGGTCAGTGGGGTGGGGTAGGGCCGGGGGAAGACAAGGGGGTCAGTGGGGATAGGGGGTTGGGGCCCCCGGGGAGGACAAGGGGGGGTTTGGGGGAAGGGGGATGGGACCTGGGGAAAGGGCAAGGGGGGATGGGGGTAGGGGTATGGGGGCCCGGAGGAGAGACAAGGGGGTCGCGGGGATGGGGGAGGGACCCCGGGGAGAGCAAGGGGGGGGGCTGGGGATGGGGATGGGACCCTGGGGGGAGAGAAAGGGGGGCCAAGGGGGGGGGGGAAAAAAGGGGGGTTTTTATGGGGCCCTGGAGGGGAGCAAGGGGGGGCACGGGGAAAGGGGGATGGGACCCTGGAGGAGAGACAAGGGGGTCACTGGGGATAGGGGTATGGACCCGGGGGGAAAAAACAAGGGGGGGCAGTGGGGATGGGGTTGGGACCCTGGGGGAAGAAAGGGGGTAAAATGGGATAGGGGTATGGGACCCTGGGGGAGAAACAAGGGGTCAACGGGGATGGGGTATGGGACCCCGGAGGAGAGCAAGGGGGTCACTGGGGATAGGGGTTGGGGCCCGGAGGAGAGACAAGGGGGTCAGCTGGGGATAGGGTAGGGGCCCTGGAGGGAGACAAGGGGGTCAGCTGGGGGTAGGGGTATGGGACCTGGGGGAGAGCAAAAGGGGCAGGGGGATAGGGGTTGGGACCCTGGAGGAGAGACAAGGGGGGCAGCTGGGGGGTAGGGGTAGGGACCCGGAGGAAGACAGGGGGGGGGGGGTGGGTATGGGACCCCTGGGGGAGAGACAAGGGGGTCAGTGGGGGGTAGGGGGATGGGACCCCGGAGGAAAAGAAAGGGGGTAACGGGGATAGGGGGGTGGGATGGGGAAACCTGGGGAAAGGGGGGGGTGGGGGGGACAAGGGGGGGGAGCTGGGGATGGGGGTGGACCCTGGAGGAGAGGGCAAGGGGGCGCGGGGGATAGGGGTATGGGGCCCCGGAGGAGAGACAAGGGGCAAAATGGGGGGTAGGGGGTTGGGGCCCCGGGGGAGACAGGGGGGCGTGGGGTAGGGGTATGGGACCCGGGGGGGAAAAAAGGGGGGGGATGGGGATAGGGGTATGGGGCCCTGGGGGAGGAAAGGGGGGCAGCTGGGGTAGGGGGATGGGACCCTGGAGGAGAGACAAGGGGGGCAGCTGGGATAGGGGGATGGGGCCCGGGGGGGAGAAGGGGGGTAGTGGGGAAGGGGGATGGGGCCCGGAGGGAACAGGGGGTATGGGGATAGGGGTATGGGACCCTGGGGAGAGACAAGGGGGGGGCCTGGGGGTAGGGGTATGGGACCGGAGGAGAGAAAGGGGGGGGCAACTGGGATAGGGGGATGGGCCTGGGGAAACAAGGGGGGGCACTGGGGGTAGGGGTATGGGACCGGAGGGGAGACAAAGGGGGGCAACTGAGGAAGGGTAGGGGCCCGGGGGGAGGACAAGGGGTCAAATGGAATAGGGGGAGGGACCCCGGAGGAGAGAAAGGGGTAACTGAGGAAGGGGGATGGGACCTGGAGGAGAGACCCAAAGGGGGCAAGGGGGGGAGGGGGGGGCCCCGGAGGGAGAAAGGGGGGGGGCAACTGGGGGTGGGGGTTGGGGCCCCGGGGGAGAGACAAGGGGGGGGCAACTGGGGATAGGGGGTTGGGCCCCCGGAGGAGAGACAAAGGGGGGTTAAATGGGGGTAGGGGTATGGGACCCTGGGGAGAGACAAGGGGGTCAACGGGAAGGGGTATGGGACCCTGGGGGAAGACAAGGGGGGGGCAATGGGGGGTAGGGGGAGGGACCCTGGAGGGGGAGACAAGGGGGGGGCAATGGGGATAGGGGGATGGGGCCCCGGGGGGGAGACAGGGGGGGGGGGGCAAGGGAAGGGGTATGGGACCCCCGGGGGGAGAAAGGGGGGGCCAAAAGGGGGGAGGGATGGGACCTGGGGGGGGAGACAAGGGGGGGGAACTGGGGGGTAGGGGTATGGGGCCCGGGGAGGACAAGGGGGGAACTGGGGGTAGGGATGGGACCTGGAGGAGAGACAAGGGGGGGGGCAAATGGGGATAGGGGTATGGGAAACCTGGGGAGAGAAAGGGGGGGGCAAATGGGGATGGGGGAGGGACCCCGGAAAGGGGAGACAAGGGGGGGTCAACTGGGAAAAGGGGTATGGGACCCGGAGGGGGACAAGGGGGGGCAAATGGGATAGGGGGATGGGCCCCCGGAGGGGAAAGGGGGTCAAATGGGATAGGGGGAGGGGGCCCCCGGGGAGGACAGGGGGGGTCCAAAAATGAGGGTAGGGGAGGGACCTGGAGGAGAGACAGGGGGTTGGGGTAGGGGTATGGGGGGCCCGAGGAGAGACAAGGGGGGGAAATGGGATAGGGGGATGGGGCCCCGGGGGAGAAAGGGGGGGCAACGGGGTAGGGGGATGGGACCCGGAGGAGAGCAAGGGGGTAAATGGGATGGGGTTGGGACCCTGGAGGGGAAAACAAGGGGGCAAGGGGTGGGGGAGGGGAACCCCGGAGGAGGGGGCAAGGGGGGCAACTGGGATAGGGGTATGGGACCCTGGAGGAGAGGAAAGGGGGTCAACTGGGGGTAGGGGGGATGGGCCCCGGGGAGAGACAAGGGGGGGGCAAATGGGATAGGGGTATGGGACCTGGAGGAGAGAAAAGGGGGGGGAAAAGGGGAAGGGGGATGGGGGCCGGGGAGGACAATGGGGGGCAACTGGGGATGGGGTATGGGACCCCGGGGGAGAGACAAGGGGGGGGCAACTGGGGGTGGGGTATGGGGGCCCCGGAGGAGAGACAAGGGGGTCAAAAGGGGATAGGGGTATGGGCCCCCGGAGGGGAAAGGGGGGGGGCAATGGGGATAGGGGGTTTGGGGCCTGGAGGAAAAAAGGGGGGGGGCAATGGGATAGGGGAGGGCCCCCGGAAGGGGGACAGGGGGGGGGGAACTGGGGGGTAGGGGTAAAGGGACCCGGGGAGAGACAAAGGGGGGGCAACTGGGAAAAGGGATGGGCCCGGAGGAGAGACGGGGGTCAAAGGGATGGGGTATGGGACCCCGGGGAGAGACAAGGGGGTCAACTGGGGATAGGGGTATGGGACCCTGGGGGAGAGACAAAGGGGGGGGGATAGGGGTAGGGACCCTGGAGGGGAGACAAGGGGGGGCAAAATGGGGGTAGGGGATGGGGCCCCGGGGAGGACAAGGGGGTCAACTGGGGGAAGGGGGAGGGACCCGGAGGGGAGACAAAGGGGGGCAACTGGGATGGGGTATGGGGCCCCGGGGGGAGACAAGGGGGGTCAACTGGGGGGTAGGGGGATGGGACCCCGGGGGAAGACAGGGGGGGGCAAGGGATAGGGGGGTAGGGGACCCCGGGAGGGAGGGGGGGGAAACAAGGGGGTCAACGGGGATAGGGTAGGGACCCCGGAGGAGGACAAAAAGGGGTCAACGGGGTAGGGGTATGGGACCCTGGAGGAGAGACGAGGGGGCAGCGGGGGGTAGGGGTATGGGACCCTGGAGGGAGGCAGGGGGGGGGGGGATAGGGTTTGGGACCCAAAGACCCGGGTTTTTTTAAACTGGGGATAGGGAGTGGACCGGAAGGAAAAAGAAGAGGGGGAAAAACCTAAATTTTTAAAACCTTTAAGGGGAAAGAGAAAAATAACCCCCGGGGATGTGGGTGTTCGTTCTCCCGACACCCCCAGCAGGCGGGTGATGAAATCGATTTAAAGATGGTTTTTAGAGACACCAGCTTTTCTGGTAAAACCTCTTTTTTGGGAATGCCCCCTTTTCCACCAGGGCCTTGTTAGTGCCCCCCTTAAACCCCCAACCCAAAAAACCCCGCCCTGGTCCCCCAAACCCCCCTGGGCCCCCCCTAACCCAAGCCTGGTACCCCAACCCTGCCCCTAACCCCAACCCTAACCCCAAAGCCTGGCGAAACCCTAACCCCAAGCCTGGCTAACCCTAAAACCCAACCCCCTGCCCCGGGCCCGAACCCCAACAATTTTTCATGGTGGGGCATTTAAATTTTTGGGATTCAAAATGGTTTGGGTGCCCTTTATTTCAGTGGGGGGGAAAAGAACCTTAGGGCAGTTTCTTGGGTTTTAAAGGGATGGGGGTAATTTTAAAATTGTTGTGTCTGGTTAAAGGGTTATTGTCCCCGTTTTTAGTTTGTTTTGGAGGGTTTTAGTTTTTTAAAAGACATGCCTGGTCAGGCCCCGAGCGGGGAAGCTTAGTTAAAATTGTTGGCGTTTCTCCTCCTATCATAAGGGAATTATAACATGCCAACACAGTCGCATTTCACGGTGAAGTCTACACCTGTTGTTTTCGGCGCATGTGACAAATACAATTTTATTTGAAGAAGGCACTTCTCCCTCAGGAGGCTGAAAAGATTTGGCATGGGTCCCCAGATCCTCAAAGTTCTACAGCTGCACCATCGAGAGCATCCTGACTGGCTGCATCACCGCCTGGTATGGCAACTGCTTGGCATCCAACCAGAAGGCACTACAGAGGGTAGTGCGTACGGCCCAGTACATCACTGGGGCCAAGCTTCCTGCCATCCAGGACCTCTATACCAGGCGGTGTCAGAGGAAGGCCCTAAACATTGTCAAAGATTCCAGTCACCCAAGTCATGGACTGTTCTCTCTGCTACCGCACAGCAAGCAGGTACTTAAATGTACCGATGGACCAAGTCTGGAACCAACAGGGCCCCCAAGCCATAAGACTGATAAATAGTTAGTCTGGGTAGCTATTGATTCAGTTTTTAACTATCTGCATTGACCCCCCTTTTCACTAACTCTTTTGACTCATCACATACGCTGCTGCTACTGTCTATTATCTATCCTGTTGTCTAGTCACTTTACCCCTACCTACAGTATACTGCTGCTACTGTCTATTATCTATCCTGTTGTCTAGTCACTTTACCCCCTACCTACAGTATACTGCTGCTACTGTCTATTATCTATCCTGTTGCCTAGTCACTTTAACCCCTACCTACAGTATACTGCTGCTAACTGTCTATTATCTATCCTGTTGTATAGGTCACTTTACCCCTACCTACAGTATAACTGCTGCTACTGTCTATTATCTATCCTGTTGTCTAGTCACTTTACCCCTACCTACAGTATACTGCTGCTACTGTCTATTATCTATCCTGTTGTCTAGTCACTTTACCCCTACCTACAGTATACTGCTGCTACTGTCTATTATCTATCCTGTTGTCTAGTCACTTTACCCCTACCTACAGTATACTGCTGCTACTGTCTATTATCTATCCTGTTGCCTAGTCACTTTACCCCACCTACAGTATACTGCTGCTACTGTCTATTATCTATCCTGTTGTCTAGTCACTTTACCCCTACCTACAGTATACTGCTGCTACTGTCTATTATCTATCCTGTTGTCTAGTCACTTTACCCCTACCTACATTATACTGCTGCTACTGTCTATTATCTATCCTGTTGTCTAGTCCCTTTACCCCTACCTACAGTATACTGCTGCTACTGTCTATTATCTATCCTGTTGTCTAGTCCCTTTACCCCTACCTACAGTATACTGCTGCTACTGTCTATTATCTATCCTGTTGTCTAGTCACTTTACCCCTACCTACAGTATACTGCTGCTACTGTCTATTATCTATCCTGTTGCCTAGTCCCTTTACCCCTACCTACAGTATACTGCTGCTACTGTCTATTATCTATCCTGTTGTCTAGTCCCTTTACCCCTACCTACAGTATACTGCTGCTACTGTCTATTATCTATCCTGTTGTCTAGTCACTTTACCCCTACCTACAGTATACTGCTGCTACTGTCTATTATCTATTCCTGTTGTCTAGTCACTTACCCCTACCTACAGTATACTGCTGCTACTGTCTATTATCTATCCTGTTGTCTAGTCCCTTTACCCCTACCTACAGTATACTGCTGTTACTGTCTATTATCTATCCTGTTGTCTAGTCCCTTTACCCCTACCTACAGTATACTGCTGCTACTGTCTATTATATATCCTGTTGTCTAGTCACTTTACCCCTACCTACAGTATATGCTGCTACTGTCTATTATCTATCCTGTTGTCTAGTCCCTTTACCCCTACCTACAGTATACTGCTGCTACTGTCTATTATCTATCCTGTTGTCTAGTCACTTTACCCCTACCTACAGTATACTGCTGCTACTGTCTATTATCTATCCTGTTGTCTAGTCACTTTACCCCTACCTACAGTATACTGCTGCTACTGTCTATTATCTATCCTGTTGTCTAGTCACTTTACCCCTACCTACAGTATACTGCTGCTACTGTCTATTATCTATCCTGTTGTCTAGTCACTTTATCCCTACCTACAGTATACTGCTGCTACTGTCTATTATCTATCCTGTTGCCTAGTCCCTTTACCCCTACCTACAGTATACTGCTGCTACTGTCTATTATCTATCCTGTTGTCTAGTCACTTTACCCCTACCTACAGTATACTGCTGCTACTGTCTATTATCTATCCTGTTGTCTAGTCACTTTACCCCTACCTACAGTATACTGCTGCTACTGTCTATTATCTATCCTGTTGTCTAGTCACTTTACCCCTACCTACAGTATACTGCTGCTACTGTCTATTATCTATCCTGTTGTCTAGTCACTTTACCCCTACCTATATCTACATACACTATGTAATAAGGTATTTCTGTTTTTATTTTGAATAAATTTGCAAAATAGTCTTAAAACCTGTTTTCTCTTTGTCATTATGGGTTATTGTGTGTAGATTGATGAGGAAAATATTTAATTTAATCAATTTTAGAATTTGATTAGATTAGATTTGATTTGATGATTTCAGAATGAGATGTTCGACGAGCAGGTGTCCACATACTTTTGGTCATGTAGTGTATCTAATCGGCAAAGTTACTGCATTTCAACACATTTTTCCATTTTATGAAGCTATTCTACACATTTCGTAATGAGGCTAAGAGAAAATGTTGCCGTTTTGAAACTCATTTCCTGCAATTCTACACTTTTTGCCATGGGGCAGAGATTTTTTTATTTCTGTTTTAAAGCTAATTTCCTGCTATTCTACACATTATGCCATGAGGCCGAGAGAACATTTTGCAGTTTTAAAGCCAATTTCCTGCATTTCTAAAACTGTTGCTATCATATGCTATCTGGGGGGCACGTGCCCTGCGTGCCCATTCGCTAACCCGGCCCTGGCTCCAGGTGAATGCAACATGCTGTACTGTCCCAGAGAAGAGCTATCTCCAGCTGAATGCAGCATGCTGTACTGTCCCAGAGAGGAGCTATCTCCAGCTGAATGCAACATGCTGTACTGTCCCAGAGAAGAGCTATCTCCAGCTGAATGCAACATGCTGTACTGTCCCAGAGAAGAGCTATCTCCAGCTGAATGCAGCATGCTGTACTGTCCAAGAGAAGAGCTATCTCCAGCTGAATGCAACATGCTGTACTGTCCCAGAGAAGAGCTATCTCCAGCTGAATGCAGCATGCTGTACTGTCCTAGAGAAGAGCTATCTCCAGCTGAATGCAACATGCTGTACTGTCCCAGAGAAGAGCTATCTCCAGGTGAATGCAACATGCTGGAACCAACATTCAGCCTTAAATGTCACAGGTCATGGCAGAAGCACGTGTCCCCATGCATCCAACACACCACAGCCATTTCATTCACATGCTGCTGCCTGTAGGTTACTCTCAAACAGTAGTTAGCTAACTGACTTTAACATATAGACTCCTGCTGCTGTGATTCAACTGAGAGGGGAGTACACTAGAAACATGTACCACTGCAGAGGGGGACTTCTTTTATTAACACTCTCTACTCTCTCTATCAAAAACACACTCCGCCTCTCTGGCTTCCTGTCTCTCCCTCTCTCCACTGCCATCCATGTTGCATGAATGAATTGAACATTGTTCATTACTTTCAATCAGGACTTTCCAATAATTTATTAATAATGTTTAAAAGGTACAGGTGGAGGTGCAGGGAGACAGTGTAGTACTTACAGGTGTGCGAGTCCGGCCTTACGCACGGCGCAGGAGATGGCTTTGATGGATGTCAGCAGACTGTTAATCAGCTGAGTCAGCTCTCCTGTCGACCCCTTGACCTGGCGACCCGTCTCCATCACAAACCGAGTTAGGGTCCACACATCCGTGTCGATCTCAGAGTTATTATCCGACATGTTGGAGCCGGGTTGGGGTTCTACCTCGTTGGGTCCGGGTTAGGCTGATCCTCCTGGGTAGAGAAGCACGACTGTGTGTGTGAGAGGGAGAGGGACAGGCACTGTGTGTATATGAATGTGTGTGTGATCGAGAGAGAGAGAGAGAGAGAGAGAGAGAGACAGAGAGAGAGCAGCTGTTAACAGAGAAGGTCAACCTCATTCCAGCAGCATGGCTGAACGCCAAGGTTATATTTGTGATGGCAGTACAAGGGGAGAGTAGAGTAGAGGGGTATCGAGTGACAGCAAACCTTTGGTGACAGACGGACGGATGGACGGACGTGTGGTGTGTGTGTCTGGACTTTCTAAGACAGAAGTTAAATGCTAGAAGGATGCAGTGAGACAAGTTAAATGCTAGAAGGATGCAGTGAGACATGTTAAATGCTAGAAGGATGCAGTGAGACATGTCCATGCTAGAAGGATGCAGTGAGACATGTTAAATGCTAGAAGGATGCAGTGAGACATGTTAAATGCTAGAAGGATGCAGTGAGACATGTTAAATGCTAGAAGGACACAGTGAGACATGTTAAATGCTAGAAGGATGCAGTGAGACATGTTAAATGCTAGAAGGATGCAGTGAGACATGTTAAATGCTAGAAGGATGCAGTGAGACATGTTAAATGCTAGAAGGATGCAGTGAGACATGTTAAATGCTAGAAGGATGCAGTGAGACATGTCCATGCTAGAAGGATGCAGTGAGACATGTTAAATGCTAGAAGGGACACAGTGAGACATGTTAAATGCTAGAAGGATGCAGTGAGACATGTTAAATGCTAGAAGGACGCAGTGAGACATGTTAAATGCTAGAAGGATGCAGTGAGACATGTTAAATGCTAGAAGGATGCAGTGAGTGGACATGTTAAATGCTTTGAAGGATGCAGTGAGACATGTTAAATGCTAGAAGGATGCCAGTGAGACATGTTAAATGCTAGAAGGAAGCAGTGAGACATGTCCATGCTAGAAGGATGCAGTGAGACATGTCAATGCTAGAAGGATGCAGTGAGACATGTCCATAATAGAAGGATGCAGTAGGACATGTCCATACTAGAAGGATGCAGTGAGACATGTCCATGCTAGAAGGATGCAGTGAGACATGTCCATAATAGAAGGATGCAGTAAGACATGTCCATGCTAGAAGGATGCAGTGAGACATGTCCATAATAGAAGGAGCAGTGAGACATGTAATAGAGATCAGTAGACATGTCATGCTAGAAGAGCAGTTGCATGTATATGAGGTGCGTAGACATGTCCTGCTAGAAGGAGCAAAGAGTTAATAGAAGAGCGTGGACTGTCCATATAGAAGGAGCAGTAAGCATGTATCTAGAAGGAGCAGTAGACATGTCATCATAGAAGGATGCAGTAGGACATGTCCATGTAAAGGATGCATAGATGCCATAATAGACGGAGCAGTAGGACATGTCCATAATAGAAGGATGCAGTAGGACATGTCCATGCTAGAAGGATGCAGTAGGACATGTCCATAATAGAAGGATGCAGTAGGACATGTCCATAATAGAAGGATGCAGTAGGACATGTCCATAATAGAAGGATGCAGTAGATGCCCTGTAGAAGATTAACAGGCTGCATGGAGAAGTAGACTAGATAACCATGTTACCTTCTGGACCGGACTGGGAACAGGGCCTCCTGGGAACACGCACTACGGCTCCTCCTGGGAACACGCACTACGGCTCCTCCTGGGAACACGCACTAGAATATCCGGGAAACATGTTAAACTCTAGGGAAGCCTAACTGTTACTCCTGGACACGCACTAGGCTTCTGGGAAACGCAGTCTCTGGGAAACACGCACTACGGTCTTGAAACGAAGGCTCCGTGAGACATGTAAATCCCCTAGAAGGATTGCCTGAGAACACGACTAGAGGCTTCCTGGAACAGAACTACGGATCTCCATGGAACACGCATGCTAGAAGGCTGCATCTGGTCAGCGATGCTTGGTAAGGTGGTGGACATGCTGCAAAAGGACCGGAGGGAACATGCCAACTAGACGGCTGCAGGTAACATGCCTTGGTCCAGTGAGGGACATTCCAAGAGACCGGACTGGGAACACACTGTCCTCTGGTACGATGTTTGGGTCCATTGGAGGTGGATGTCAGAGGACTGTATAATAGAAAGGATGCACTAGGACATCCTCCTGCTCAGGGGATTGCGTTGGTCATTGGTGTTGGGATCCATCTGCCCAAAGAACCGGACTGGGAACACCATTACGGATCCTCTGTCCTGCTTTGGTCCATTGGTGTGGGATCTTCTGTCAGATGGACCACTGGAACAGCAGTACGGCATCCTCTGGTAAGATGCTTGGACGCTATGGGTGGAGATCTTCTGCCCAATGGGAAGGACGTGGAACACGCATATACGGCGCCTCCTGGTCACCTGCTTGGGCCCAATTGTGTGGTATCTTTCTGTCAGAGGACCTCGAACCTGGGAACACGCACAACGGCTCGCTCCTGTCACGAGCTGCTTGGTCATTGGTGGGGGAGCTTCCTGTCAAGAGACCGGACTGGGAACACGCACTACGGCTCCTCCTGGTCACGATGCTGGTCATTGTGTGATCTTCTGGTCAGAGGACCGGACGGGGAAACGCACTACGGTCCTCCTGGTCACGATGCTTGGTCCATTGGTGTTGGGATCTTTCTTTCAAGAGGACCCGGAACTGGGAACCGCACTACGGCTCCTCCTGGTCCAGGTGTTTGGTCCATGGTGTGGGATCTTCTGTCAAGAGGACCGGACTGGGACACGCACTCACGGCTCCTCCGCGTCACGATGCTTGGTCCATTGGGGGTGGGATCTTCTGTCAAGAGGACCGGACTGGGAACACGCACTACGGCTCCTCCTGGTCACGATGCTTGGTCCATTGGTGGTGGGATCTTCTGTCAAGAGGACCGGACTGGGAACACGCACTACGGCTCCTCCTGGTCACGATGCTTGGTCCATTGGTCCTGGGATCGTCAAACGGCTCCTACTGGGAACACGCACTACGGCTCCTCCGGGGTCACAGCCTGGTCTATTGTGGTGGGATCTTCTGTCAAGAGGACCCGCTGGAACACGCACTACGGCTCCTCCTGGACACGACTACGGTCCTCCTGGGGATCCGTCAAGGACTCGTCCTGGGAACACCGCACTACGCTCTCCTGGCACGATCTAGGTCCATTGGGGTGGGCTCTTCCTGTGAAACGCACTCGGCCCTGGGAACACGCACTACGGCTCCTCCTGGCACGATTTGGTCCATTGTGGTGAACCTGCACAAAGGCCGACTGGGAACACGCACTACGGCTCCTCCTGGGTCACATGCTACGGTCCATGGGGTGGATCCTCTGCAAGAGGACCGGTCCCTGGGAACACGCACTACGGCTCCTCCTGGTCACGACTCGGTCCTCCTGTGGATCCGCACTACGGCCTCCGGCTGGAACACGCACTACGGTTTCCCCTGGTCACGATGCTTGGTCCATTGGTGGTGGGATCTTCTGTCAAGAGGACCGGACTGGGAACACGCACTACGGCTCCTCCTGGTCACGATGCTTGGTCAATTGGTGGTGGGATCTTCTGTCAAGAGGGTTGAGAGACGGGTCAGACCAAGGTGCAGCGTGGTATGCGAACATGTTTATTAAACCAAATAAACATTGAACAAAACAAGAAACAACGTGAAGTCCTCAGGCTAAACACATACAAGCCTAACACAGAACAAGATCCCACAACCGTAGTAGGCAACTGGGCTACCTAAGTATGATCCCCAATCAGAGACAACGAGCGACAGCTGCCTCTGATTGGGAATCACACCGGCCAAACATAGAAACACAACTCTAGATCCTAACCATAGAAAACATAGATTCACACACCCTGACTCCACAAACAAGAGTTCCATCCGTCAGGGCATGACACCTACAGTGAGGGAAAAAAGTATTTGATCCCCTGCTGATTTTGTACGTTTGCCCACTGACAAAGAAATGATCAGTCTATAATTTTAATGGTAGGTTTATTTGAACAGTGAGAGACAGAATAACAACAAAAAAATCCAGAAAAACGCATGTCAAAAATGTTATAAATTGATTTGCATTTTAATGAGGGAAATAAGTATTTGACCTTTCTGCAAAAAATGACTTAGTACTTGGTGGCAAAACCCTTGCTGGGAATCACAGAGGTCAGACATTTCTTGTAGTTGGCCACCAGGTTTGCACACATCTCAGGAGGGATTTTGTCCCACTCCTCTTTGCAGATCTTCTCCAAGTCATTAAGGTTTCGAGGCTGACGTTTGGCAACTCGAACCTTCAGCTCCCTCCACAGATTTTCTATGGGATTAAGGTCTGGAGACTGGCTAGGCCACTCCAGGACCTTAATGTGCTTCTTCTTGAGCCACTCCTTTGTTGCCTTTGCCGTGTGTTTTGGGTCATTGTCATGCTGGAATACCCATTCCCGACCCATTTTCAATGCCATGGCTGAGGGAAGGAGGTTCTCACCCAAGATTTGATGGTACATGGCCCCGTCCATCGTCCCTTTGATGCGGTGAAGTTGTCCTGTCCCCTTAGCAGAAAAACACCCCCAAAGCATAATGTTTCCACCTCCATGTTTGACGGTGGGGATGGTGTTCTTGGGGTCATAGGCAGCATTCCTCCTCCTCCAAACACAGCGAGTTGAGTTGATGCCAAAGAGCTCCATTTTGGTCTCATCTGACCACAACACTTTCACCCAGTTCTCCTCTGCATCATTCAGATGTTCATTGGCAAACTTCAGACGGGCCTGTATATGTGCTTTCTTGAGCAGGGGGACCTTGCGGGCGCTGCAGGATTTCAGTCCTTCACGGCATAATGTGTTACCAATTGTTTTCTTGGTGACTATGGTCCCAGCTGGCGATGGTCTTGTAGCCCATTCCAGCCTTGTGTAGGTCTACAATCTTGTCCCTGACATCCTTGGAGAGCTCTTTGGTCTTGGCCATGGTGGAGAGTTTGGAATC